CGAAATTGGGAATCTGGCCAATTGGATTACCCCGGCTTGCAGAACTTCGCCCGGTGTCGTCGAGCATAGATCATTAAACGCTTAGACCCTCGTAGATCCCTTTGCCTATGTTTCCACAATTCATCCTTTTTTTCGCGGCGGCGATACCCGAGTGGGAGGATCGCCGATCCACAAATTCAGAGAATTATGGAACTTTGTTTGAACACGTAAAGGACGCGTGAAAAAAAAACTTGACACCGATCGAATCAGCTGTTCGATTTTAGAGATCGAAATTGATGACTAAACTGCGGATCTTTATGCAAGATTTGTTGCAAGAAACGGAAGAACGTAAATATGTCTTATTTGTAATAATTAGGCTGCGGATGTTTATGCAAATGCATATTTTTGTAGAAAATATGCGGGCCAATGAGACCTGAACAGAAATTTATGTCACGATCGAATGATCCCATAAATATAGTTTTTATTTTGTATATTTTGCATACTGCATATGCTTTGCATATCTTTTATAAAGAGATATGTCGAAACGTACTGCATTGTGTCACATAGGTTCATTGCATTTTTTTTACATAAAAAAGTTGTTGATAACAGATGCAGTTGCGTATATGATAAAAGCTAAAAAACATTTAACAGTGTTTTATCCAAGTATCGCGCATCTAACATGTGTGATCCATGATGTGTATACAGTTGCAGAAGTGCGTCAATATTCTCCACTTGTAAACGATTTAGTATCTTTTATTTAAAAAATATTTGTAATAGCACTACATACTTCGAGTAAATCTTTCGTTATCATCTGAGCCAATCTTAACGAGGTGGATTCGGACAGCAATATTTTACTCCGCGGACTTGAAACACGTACACGGACTTGAAAAAAGTACAAGATGTTCTTCAAAATGAATCGTTAATTCAGAATACAATATTTATCAAAATCCCTATTAGAGTGCCTTTAATTGAATCGATGAAATCAGAAATTCATGGAGAAAATATTACAACATAATGGAATGCAGTTTTAACAAGAAATCCCGGTTTCAAGACAATATTCAAGATTAGTGAAATGTTCCGAGAACAAATTGTTAAAGAACTGAAAAAAATTAAAGTGTGCTAATTGGCCAAATTCAAATATGTCACGATCACATCTTGTGATGTTGAGCGTTCGTTTTCTGCCAATAAATTGATTTTAATCGATGAACATCATCGACTCACGCTTGATAATATTAACAAAATACTCGCAGGATATTGTAATTTCAACGATAATTAATTATTATTATTATGTTTAAGTAATAAAATTATTTCGACATATTTCAAGTGTATTTTGCAATTTTTAATTTTTTTGTAATTTTTATCGATCATTTGGCAATTTTATTTCTCGTATATATTAACATATTAGTGATACATATTTCACATATGTCGCTTACGTATTTTGATATATTTTATTGACACAGACTTCCGCAGCCTAATAATAACATTCGTAAGTCGAAAGTAATGTATAAGTGCGCCTCGATTCTCCTAATGTTTCTACAAAACACTCCTTTCGAAACGATCACATGTACTTTGGTTAGAATATCTCACTAATACATACTCTTTTTCTCGCCCATCAGAGAAATATCTGCTTCGCTTGTAACAATATAAAAACACATTGTGCACAATGCGTTGGAAATGAGTTTCATAGTCGACTTTAATTTTGGTAAGATCGCGTTACTGACAGCTCAAGGGAAACATGTACGCTTGTAATAAGTGATCAAATTGTTGGAGCCGCAGTTTTGTTAATCATACATTTGCAGTTTGCAAACGTTATCGAACAGTAATAAGAATTCGGCGTGATTGCGCTTCTATATAAAAATTTTCCCTAAATTTTATTCAAGTGTTCCCTTTATTATGTTGCTCGCATAACAATCTATGAAAACGGAACTTCGCAAGATCCGCGTTTCAGCGATAACCGAATCGATCTCGAACAGCCCCGTTAATTGTATCCCTTAACACGTTCCGTGCCACGTGTACCATCGATGGTACACGCTTGCATGTTTACTTAGTGAACTGAACAAATTGTTTACAAGAAATTTAGAACCGAAGAATCAATTTCCACCGCAAGAATGGGCGTTGATAAGTTTCTGTTACGTTGTTATGTGTACGAGAATTAATAATTGCACGTAATACATCAAGTTTTAGTAAAATATCAAAGTGTGAAGATTCGAGTAAAAAAAGCTCGGCACGGAACGTGTTAATGGTCAT